ATCTACTTATCTGCTTTTTTCATTTTAATACAATTTAAGGTGATTATTTCTTAAAAGTATATTATGTATTCAAAATTCATCCATTACTTTAAAATTAATGATTTATCCTATTATATAAYGTATTAATGTACACAAATGTATAAGTATTAAATGGGTTTTTATTAGGCAMTTAAAAGACATATTATAGACATTAGACGAAGTATTTTAATTTGTTTAACATACCATTTAATTAAATTTATTATTAAAGTTTATGGCATTGTAGTAACAAATCATTTGTTGAATTTTTCTGAAAAAGTATAGTTAATTTGATTTAGCGTATAATAGAAAACTGATTTTTAAATGACATTATGTATTTATAAACAGTACTTACTTTTAATTTTTAACTAATAAAAAATATTATTTTATGCGTTATACAATTTTTATGCTGAATCATTTGGTTGAAATATTTTTGTGTTATATAGCTAACAAAATTCTTATCTAGCTTAAACTGTATTATGATCAAATGCTAGTTAAGATAAATAAAACATTAATATATATACATATAACCATTTATAAATTATTAGTTCCATTTAAGTTATCATCGAAGTTTATGGTTTTAGGCAGACCTGGTAGAAATGAAAGAAATACAAAAGTCATTGGCAATTTTTTGTATAGCAACATATGGTGAGGGAGACCCAACAGATAATGCTATGGATTTCTACGAATGGCTTCAAAATGGTGACGCCGACCTAGAAGGATTAAATTATGCAGTAAGTATCTTATTGAGGTAATTTCAAATTCAAATTGTTATTGTTAGTGTGAATAGTAATCTGCTGTTAAAGTTCTCTGTCGTTACTGAATTTTATCATATTCATTCATATTTATAATTTCTACTTGATATTCTTATTCCCAACTGTCCATATCAAATTCATCATAATAGATCTTCAGTCTAAATCATTGACTTAATTCTTTAGGATACTGTAATTTTATTTAAATTGTTATTTCTTTTCTAACTTGTATGTTACCAATATTAATGGATATCTGAGAAAATGTCTATGTGCGTTTATTTAATTTAATTTAATTTATACCGATGTTAAGTGGAGGTCATCCCAAAGTTATAGCCAACTTCATCCTATTTATGTTTGACATTCATGAATAGTGAACAAATGTATATTTTAAACCAATCAATAATAATTGTTATTAACATATACTGATCAAACGCATACAATTTATACAAACCTAATTGTGAATTAAAGTACATAAATTATAAARCACTAATACCACGAGTATATATACACGAGTTTGATGTATGATATATTTTTACTATATGGTAAATTCTAGTTAATTTCTAAAATTTTAATTTTTTACTGGGATAATATTTAAGTATAYATTTTTTTTTAGTTAAACAAACTATTTTTTTTACTCATAATTTTAAGTTTTGTATTTTAATTTATAACCAACTATCATGATATTTTGTTTAAAACTTTTACTATTACCAACCTGATATGAGTATTTAAAAATTTAACTAGCATAATATTATAGATTTATAATAATTTGTTGATCTTCAGTTCCATATAGATAGATTTGCTTTGATATTATTCACTATCTAAATTACCTTCTATTTTTACAGGTATTTGGATTAGGAAATAAGACTTATGAGCACTATAACGAAATTGCTATTTACATTGATCAACGTTTGGAAGAATTGGGTGCTACTAGAGTTCATGAAATTGGTCTAGGAGATGATGACGCCAAGTAAATATTAATATTATTTTTTATCATAAACCATATTTTAAATCTAATTTAAAATATACATTTCAATCAAATGACTTTGTATTTAGTTAAATGAAATTTATATTTTATATTATTTTTACTATTATTATAAATTCTATAATTAAATATAAAATGTCTATTATATTGTATTTAAGTTAAGAATTATACTCGGCAACCAACTTGTTTACATGGACACTTTATAGAAATACATAGTTACAGTTACAGACTACAGTTGGTAGTATCTGTAGGGATGACAGATAG